TTTCTTTTGACAAAAGGATGAAGTCTCTATCTGTCAGGGAAGCCGAGATATTGCAAAATAAAAAAGGTCTTCAACTTTTGAACAGCACTTTTTATATAAAAATTAACCCGGTCCTGAAAGGGTTAAAACTTAAATCAAAAACGAAACGCAAAAATCGTAATAAAACAATATAGATTGCAGGATAACATCAAGTCATTGTGCAGCTTAGAGCAGTGAAGTCGATTTTTGCAGTTCGTCTGCAAAGATTCATGTGTTTGATCCTAACTTTATGCAAGGATTGATTTTGCGTTTTGATAATTTAAGTTTCCGAACGATATAATCGGAATTTATATTTTTTCAATTTCGTTTTGGTTCGAGATTAAAGCTTAAACCAAACCAACTTTAGGACAATAGTTCCGCCCCGCTTATTGAGACGTTTATAACTGAGGCGAATTTCCTAAAATATTCTTTCTCCTTTCTAGAATCATTCAAAATATCATTTATGCATAGAGCAAACTGTTCTCATTATTATGAGACGTCTTACAAAATTGTTCAATTATTTTTCACAGAGATACCAGCGTCGCTCGGCAAATGCCTCTGTCTAATATTAACTACGATGGTCAACAAACTGATAGTGCCAATTTGTGCACAGTGGGTATATAGGCGGACACTTGGTCGAATATCGAAAGCGAGATTTTCTGTGATTTAAATAGTATCGAATATACAGTGTTAAATGCGCTATCGAATAGCAAAAAAATTTTATTCTGTGACTTTTTCTTATGGAATTATTCGAGAAAGAAAACACGGCGATATCTGGAAAACAGACGTGTGCAGTATAATCGCAATGCGCGAGTCAGCGGATTATTTTCCCACCAAAATGTTCCTTAGTATATCCTGTATTCATAGTATACTCGCAGAATCCCACAACATTTTCTGCCAATAGTTATAGATTTTCTAAAAACTCTTTGCTTTTGAGGTAATTTGGACTTTTCAACCCTTATATGTTACTTTAGTTGAATAATTCATATATATATATATTCGAATTCCACGCGAAAAACTACGCCGACTGATATGTCTAAGAACCATTTTTAAGGAAAAAAGTTTTTCGCCAAAAATTTAGGGCAAGAGTCTCCCTCAGAGATTTTTCGTCTAAAAAGCTTTTCCCACGTTCCGGTTTTTTTATTTTATAATAACATTTCAAACGTAATAAAATAGTGTTGAGAAAAAATAGTCCCTTTCTGAATTCAAAGACCAGGTGTCCGCCTGGTCTATAGAAAAATGCCCACTGTGTTATGTACATTACGATATTATGGAAACTTCATCCGACCATGCTCAAAATATTTAGCACAGATATCTCAGATAGTATCGCAGAATAACAATTTTGTTGATTCACGGTTTACGGTTGTTAGGTCAGGAAACCTAAAATCGACAGGGATACTGCAGCGTCAGTGTACTACTGCGTGATTATATAAAAGAAATATTTCCTTTCCGGGAAATGTATGGGGAAAAATATATTTTTATCATCAAAAAAGATTGTTTTGATCATCAAATTTCTTTCTATTGAAATGATCACCAAAAAATAACACTTTCGATCACGAAATCAATTAAAGAAAATATATATAAGAAAAATGTATAGCAATTAATTAACAATGATTACCAATTAATGAGTAGGCAGACCAGAAAAAAAATATAAAGAAAGTATATACAACAAGAAATATGAGCAGAAGTTTAATTTCAATGATTAAAATTTTTAGAAATTTCATCATTAATGTTATATTTTTGAGCCAAAAACGACAATCTTGCAGTTAAACATGAAGAGTGATAGATTTCGAATGTTTATTTCCTGGAACAAAAGTAAAAAATTCGAATTTTTCAAAAATTTTCTTAAGTTAAAACCCCCTAGAGTATAAAAACGTGAACCATAGAGGTGATGAGTCATACCCCTCAAAAAATAAAAAAAAACTTCGATTTTTCTCAGCAGAAAAAAAAATTTTGCGTTTTTTAAAAAAAAATTCTTGTCTCAGTGAAGCAGCCTCCCAAAGTCTGACTACTCGTGACATATTTTTTCTAACTGATATATTTTCTTTAACTGGTTTGGTGATCAAAAAAATACATACCCAAGTGCATTTTGGGTCACTATCTCATCATGTCATTGTGTGACACCGTTGCATTACGTTTTTCTGTTACGTTCTTTCTTTCTTTCTCGCCAATCAATAGATATACAGGAATACACTGTACGGGGAGATGCTTTTGCTTTCTTAATAAAAAAATATTTGTACATACAAGCGAAGATTGGAACATGTTAGATGAAACCTAATAACGGAGACTAGTCAATCGATTAGTCATTACATATAACATAGTGAGTATATTCTTTTTCATTTTTGTTCTGTTCTCTACACATGTACGTAATTTCTTTTCTACTGTAGGCTGGAATAACTTTTGTACCCCTTTTGACCGATGATATCTTCTGAATAAACACAAAACGTCCCAAAAAAAATATGTATATTTTCAAAATAAAAAAGGTGGCCTTCATCTTATTATCAACGATTTTGTTTTTTTCTCCAGATATAAGAAATAATCACAAAAGTCATAGATAATACTCAGATTTTGATTTTGAAAACTCCAGAATTCAGAAAGGAAAATAAAAATAAAAAGAATAAATATTTTTGTTCTGAGATCGATATCATTTCAGGTATTTGTGCTTAACATTTTTAACGCGATTGAATGACGTTTTCATGAGATCATAATGTATATGGATGAAAATCGAAGTTTTACAGAAAGATTATGTCAGGAAATATCGAGCAAAATTACATGAATTTTGTTTTATGATGTTCTATATTTGGTAGAAATTTGAGATCAATCGGTCTTTTGCAATCTACAAAATCTAGCTCTACCTTAAACATCTGCCTCGAATTCGTGCCAATAAGGCCATTTTGTACGAAAATGGTGTATACTAAAAACATTATGTCACTTAAACTAGTAAACTGCTAGACTTTGCTTGATTGTCATTTGAAAAAAAAATCTTCAAACTAAACATTTCTCGATTGAAAAACTATAAACTTCGCAAAACGTTACGAACGTATGTCAAGGTTGGCGTTTAAGCGTATACGCCCATATTTGTTAACAAGGTAGGAAAAGAGAAGAATGTACTTAAGTATATCATATATGATGCTCTATGAGTTATGTTTTTCTTCATAATTTTCTGTGTCACGGATACGTGTTTTTTTAGCGAGAAGTTTTTCACGTGGAAAAAACAAATATAAAAAAGAAGGTATAAAAGAAAATTGTGCATAATATTAGAAATAACATTCATTTCTTTTACATAAGCAATGTTTAGTAGTTATATTTATCAAAATGATTTTTATGCGGGTGATGATAAAGAAAATCATTATATTATTGTTGAGAAACTTGAAACTTCCCCTGAATCATTAGTGACAAAAAATTCAGACGTAAGTTTAAAAGATGCTATTTCAGTTGATACATTTAACACAGCAGCAAGTTCCGAAAATATTGATATATCAAATGATGAATCAGAAACATCTTATTTGGGTAAATTAGAATATTCCTTGTGTTATCGT